CCCCCACAGTGGAGCCAGGGCTTCTAGGGACCCTCGCAATCAAAATAATCCTCACAAGGGGGAGAGTCTTAATTACGTGCTGGGGAAAGGGGGAACGGCCAGCAGTGGTGCTCAGGGTCTGTCTCAGTGAGGCCCGAAAACAGCCAGCTAAACTCCATGCCTCGCTCCTCGGGCACAGAGCTTCACTTTGCCATAAATTGCGTCTAATATTCAATAATACTTTACTTATTGATATAAAGCTTTCCTCCCCTGTCTTCACCTCTCCAGAGACTTGATACTAATATCCTAAATTTAGCTCTCATCAGAATAAAGCTTATTCGATTACAGACAGTGTTGGCAGTAATAAGCTGACACTGGAGAAGAGGGAGAGAGGTTTATTCTCCCTCAAATGTGTCCTGCAGGGAAAAAGAGATAGAGCGACTCTCATTGTTTCTCATAGTAATGATATCTACTGGTGACTGATAACAGTAAAACCTCAGTTCATTAAAAGACATTCATTTTCTGCAAATTGTTCTGTAGCCTCTGCAGATGTCTCAATCCCTGTCTCTTTGGAGTCTCTCTCTGGATGGTTCCCAGGATCCTTTGTGAATATTTGGCAATGCAATAGCGACTAATACATTTTTTCTGGGCAGAGCCTACTCAGCGCTCATACTCGTTTACCAGTTGTTTTATATGTGACTTCTTAAACTAACTTTGATTGCATAGGAATCCAAGCAATTTTGGAATGATTTGGAGGGATAGTCACTTGGTGCGTAATGCAAAGCACTTCTCCGTTTCCTTTTAGTAGCTAGAGGGAGATAGAGCCGAGTAAGCTCTTAGTTCCCTGGCAGGTTTGTCCTTCCAGTCACGTGAAAGTTAGGAGAGGGCTGTTGTACTTTTGCAAAGCAGAAACTCAGCAAGAAGTGTCTAGTAGTCTACTGCTGAAACGAAGAGAGCACTAGAGAGCATTCTAGTCAGCAAAAGATTTGTTATCGCTTGAATACTCAGAGCATCTTTGTCATGGCTGGCATGAGATAAATCATGGTTGTCAGTCGTCTTACCTCGGGGAAAGCATTTTGAAAAATGCCTCATCCGTCAAACATGCTGTTTTAGCCCCTAAAATACAAGTTACAGGTTCTTTTAAACTGTTCATGGTTATATATCCCACAGTATATTCAAGATAGCTTGTTCTATTGGTTAAATATTACGTTTGCATCACTTAACATTATTAGGATCACCAAATGCATCGTTACATACGCTTAATATCAAACAATGTGACCTCGTTCATGTCTTACGAGGGCACCTGATGCTAAAACATCTTCATTACCAATATTACGACACATTTAAATTTAACAGATTAGTGTGGTACAAGCTGCATGGATTTAGTACCTAGTTGATGGAAAATATATGCCATTTCCTATTTCAAAAGTAAACTCTTACAAATGCTATCCTATTTCTGTTTCTTTTATACCAATTAATAAAGCTCTCAATTACATAGGTCTCTCATGACTCCCTTCTTATTAAATACCTTCATTAGCAAAAAACCTTAATATAGGTAACACCTCCTTTGATCAGCAAGGCTGAGTAAAGACTTGCTATGATTTTAGTCAGCAGTTACCTGCAGAATAAAATCTAACGAGCTCACAGGGATCATTCTGATGAAGAGGGAAGGCAAGACAGTTTCTTCTTCTACATTCGTATCCTTCTGCATCAGAGTCTGGTCAGGCTCTTGGAGCTAGTTAGTGCATAACGGGTACACTAAGAAACTAAATGCATGTCTCAGCATACTTTGCAATGTGATGCATTCCCTAGGTTTAGCTCTGTTCCTGCCCTAGAACAACACTAAGATCACCATTCAATGTGGGCCATGGTTTTAACACTTTGTGAAATCATGCACCTATTATTAATACATTATGTTTTTTCCATTCCTGTTGACAGGATCTGGCAGCCTTTCTCACGGCATGATCATTAATGTGCCTCCTAACTGTATTCTGGCTGCAGCTGTGCTTGGACTTGGCAGACATGGTGCTAATAGCATCTGTCATATCTTTGTCCAAGTGACTTTGGTACAGCTGACACCCATCATATTCCTGCAGGCACAGATGCAGATTTTTTCCTTACTCTTCAAGTTTTATAGAGGATTATGCTTACTTTTTTTTCCTGCACTGCTGAACAAGATCTGTTTGTTGACTTATATTAGGAATGTGTAATCATCTCTTAATATGAACTGGATTTTGCCTGTGTATTATATGTCCTTCTAAACCTCTGCAGATTCACTGTATATATGTAGAGTTTAGGCCTTCGGATCACATAACCTCATCTCCTATATGTTGTAAACCATAAGATGTCCACTGTTGACCTTAATCTAAGTCTACTAACCTGTGTTTGATAAATCTGCTTTGAGCTGAGCACAGCATGGAAAAATGCCCTATTTGTCTTTGCAGCAGCTTCCATGGCCTAATAACTTTCACAGTGAAGATGTGTTCCTTATTTCACCATGGTATACGTATTTAACTATAATTTTCTTATACCCAAATCATCACTGAAAGCACTTTGGCAGCCCCTACAAATAGCTTTCTCCTGACCAGTGATATCCTTTAAAAGCGTAGTGTTAGGAGACTGTCTCTATGTCAGTAAAACAAAAATCAGTATTTCATTGTACTTGTTAAGGCCTCTGATCAAATTAAAATTTCATCCAAGAAAACTTCATCACTTTGTAATCCTTCAAAAATCTGTGCAGGTAGGTCTTTGGAACAGTTTGGGGGTAGAGTGAATATCAAATGGTGTTCATTTAAATGTGTAATATCCAAACAATTTGCTATCTTAGAGCTTGAATAATACAACTTTTGCTGGCAAAAAAACACAGGCAATGCATTTCAGATTGAGATGGCTTTTGTTTCTGAGATTTAAGCTATCCTTTAGAAGCTTTCTGCTGCTAATGCCCATGTTTTATAGCTTTCTTTAAATCTCATGCCTCAATGGATATCCATGAGTTATCTGGCTTTCCAATTACAAGTAACTCAGGATACAGATCAGTTTAAGTTTTAAGTAACTTCCATATGTGACTATTACCAATTCACTGTCTGCTTTATTTCTTACGGCACTGAAAAATGGTCATCTTCCTTGTTTGTTTATGTTGATAACGTTTCTAGTTTGCCTTAGAGTGATTGTTCTTCTCCCTGTTATTATAGGCCTTGGAAGATGTCTGAGATTATCCTATGTTTTGACTGTGCCACCTGTGTCATTCTGTTCCACGTGGTAAGCCAGATATTAATGATATTCATGGCTAATCACACCAACATCTGCGGCAGTTCACAATAGCTGTTTGGTCTCTTTTAAGCTCCATCTCCTGGATTCAGGGGATTATATAAGAATCCCAGTTTGAAGAAACACTGTGAAGAATGTTACAAAGCAGACACTGAGTGCAGCATTAGGCCTAAAATACAACAATCATGATGAACATTTCTTTAGTTTAGACTTTTTAAAACACTCTCACTGTTTTGAGATTTGGGAAATGTGAGTCCTGATGTTGAATACTTAATATTGTCCTTACTGACACGTGTTGGCATTTTATCTTTCAAAATGAATCAGACCAATTTTTAAGTTTATTTATAATAGATTTTCACCTTTGCATGATTCTTCACATGTGGATTATGGAACATATTTTGCTTTAGACAGCTTGTCCAATATCCTGTATTTTAACTTGAACGGCAATATGTTGTGTATTGTAATATTTAGCTGTGTTTGCCAACTTGGAGCAGCTAGTGTTGTGGTCACTGTTCTTACCATGGATCACTGCCTGCCCTGTACTTCAAGTACATAGGAACCTTTTTCTGTGTTACATGCC